ACATTAATTTGAAAAGGTATATGCACCTTTATGTTTATTGCATCATAACTAGTAATAGCCAAGATATAGAAGCAGCCTAGGTGTCCATTAACCTAGGTGAATGGACTAAAAAAGATGTGATGTGTGTGTGTACATGAACACGAATATTATTTAGCCATAAAAATATCTTGCCATTTGCCACAGCATGGATGGACCTAGAGGGCATTATGCTAAGTAAAGTAAGTCAGACAGAAAAAGAAAAAGGCCATATGATTTCACTTATATGTGGAATCTGAAAAACAAAACAAAACAAATGGATAAACAAAACAGAAACAAACCAATAGATATAGAGAACAAAATGATGGTTGCCAAAAAAAAAAGCAGAAAGGGATGGGAATAATTTTAAAATTAAAAAAAAAAAAAAATAGAAATAGCCGAAACCGGTTTGGCTCAGTGGTAGAGCATCGGTCTGCGGACTGAAAGGTCCCAGGTTCGATTTCGGTCAGGGGCATGTATAATACATTGGTTGCGGGCACATCCCCGGTAGGGGGAGTGCAAGAGGCAGCTGGTCAATGTTTCTCTCTCATTGACATTTCTAGCTCTCTATCTTTCTCCCTTCCTCTCTGTAAAAATTCAATAAAAATATATTTTAAAAAATTAAAAAAAATAGAAATAGGAAATTTAAGCTAATTCACTAAAAACATGGGGGCATATATGTATACATATAAATGTGTATATACATAAGTATATAAAACTTCCTTTTTAGAACCCTCTGAAAATCTGATGAAAAATTGTGCTCCCCAGAAAAATGCAAATATGCTTATGTACAATTCTTTCTCAGGGAGTGAATAGAATCTCTGAAGCCCATATGTAGACTGACAGTAAAAATATAGCTGTGTAAACTGATGAGTTTTCCATTCAGGCCACTCCATTTTCCTTGGCCAAGTTTACTTTACAATGCAATAAATAGAGTTGTCTCCAATTAGGAAGAAGCCTTTGTAGTACCTTATCTGTTATGCAAAGTCTATATTCATGAGCTCTGTTGACCTTTAATTTTTCATTGCTAATTTCTGGTGGCTCTGGACAAGAAATTATTTGGAAAAATTTCCACATATTTTAAATTAATAAAATTTAGCTGTATTTTTATGATACGTAAGATCAAAATGTGTTAAATATTTTATTTAAAAAGATTAAGATCTTTTTAAATAAAATATTTAAACTTAGCATTTCTCTACATTTAGCATTATCAGTGAGGGATACTTATACCTATTAAGTAATAGGTAGTATATTTAGAGTTTGGGATATAAATGCTGTAAAATATGAATGCTATCTTTAAGACCAAATTATAGAAATAGTCCTGTGTAGATTAACAATGGAGGTTTGATCTGAGAAAGGTGTTGCTAAGCAGTTTGGTCATGGTGGGAACATCATAGAGTGCACTTACACAAAACTAGATGGGATAGCCTCCTGCACACCTAAGCTCCATTATAACCCTACGAAACCATCATTGTAAGTGGAGTCCCTCGTTGACTGGAATGTCACTAGCAGCACAGGACTGCAATAAGATTTAGAACACACGCATAAAACAAACATTACACATCACCACCATTTGTCCACCAACCAGATCTGAAATAGCATGGCTGACATGAACACATAAGGAACTGTTTACATTGAAATTGGGACTCAAAAAGAACTGTTGGCCCAGAAAGGAACTCACTACAGACTGATTCATTTGCCTCTCAGCATAACCATTATGGCTTGTCTCAGTTTAGGTTCTTACAAGGGTATTTCTTAGATCACATGATCTCACACATCTAGAGGAAATGATGAACAACATAGACTGATGAACAAAAACAGACCCAGAGAAAGAAAAGCAGCGAACAGACTTTCAAACCTCAGAGGGAAAGTAGGAGAGAGTGGGGGTAAAGGAGAAGGGAAGGGAGGTGAGGGCATATGTAAGGAGGGGTTTGGGATGGGATTGGGGGGATGAGGACAATTATGTGATACCATAATCAATAAAAAAAATTCAATTAAGTTTGTGTGCGTTATCTATCAAACAGGTTCTGGAAAAAGTAAAGGGGTTCAGGGGCCAAAATATAGGACAGAGACTTTAGAGAGTAAATGGAACTTGAGTTTAAACCCAAGATGTATCCTTATTCTAAGACAGAACTGAGAAAGGGGCATTGTTTTGGGGAAATGATATCAAATAAAAGACACTGGGTATTCAAATAGCATACTTGGGAAATAGGAATAGATCATTGGGATAGACCAAAAGATCTTAAATGTCCCACTTTGATTCTGACATTTAGAATACAAATCTTTAAGCATGTACTGACTCATTTTATTTAAAGCAAATCTTATCGGGCCGCTGAGTTTGTAAAACATATATAAGCATATTATATTATAAACAGAGGCCTGCCCCTAGTAGATGCCCCAGTGATTCCACATTCTATAAAGCCATGATGTTGTCCCTCTCTTTTATTTAAGCAGGAAAGTAATGTGATCCCATGTGGACATCAAATTATATTCAACAAATGTCCTTATAAACCCAGAGAATACTAACAACTTTATAAATTCATTTTAGGCCATTAATCAAAGCAAGGAGCAAATCAGGAGTAATCTGATTTACAGTAGGCTAGGGTATGTGAGGACCACCATATCACCATCAGTTCAGTTCACACATTTTCTGAGCACCTAATACACACCAGGCATTGTCCTGCATATAGAAGTTTAAAACAGAATAAGGTATCATTCCTATGTCTTCAAATATAAGAGAGAAAGAGATTTAAAGATATAATTTCAATACTAAATGGTGAGGATTAACACAAAAGCATGCACAGTGATGTGGAGAGGACAGTTAACCAGCTTGGAAGGTCAGACAAAGCTTCTAGAAACACAATCAGAGCAGACCCATACTAAGAAGGAAAAAAACACACTTAAACAACCAAGCAAAGAAGGAACAACATGAAGAGCATGAGGTACACAGAAAACTATTGTAGTCTGTGTGGGTAGAGCATAAAGTATGAGGGCCTGACACGAGAGTGGAGAAGTAGGTAGACCGTGGCCAGCCTGTACATTATACCAAGAAGTTTGGACTTTGTAAGTGATGAGGAGACACTAATAAGCTACGTTGAGGAGCACCTGAGACTTGGTTGGAAAGTTTGTAAGGAGGACATTCGAGAAAAGGGAAGTGTGCTGAAGGTGGCCTGTTTATGGCACCCCTAATTATTCCTTGATTTTTCCAAACAAGTCTGTGCATGTGCAGACCCCCGGGTGTTTACAGGAATCTTTATGCTTAATCTTTGGGTGTCCTTGCTTAAAGGACACTGCAAACACATGTTCTCCCAAGATTACTTACCCTACTGGCTGTATCTAAAAGATAAACTTTATCTCAAACTACTGTCATAATAAAAGCTTAACAAGGTAGGTGATCGAGGCTGTCTGGTTCCTTTGGCCAGGCAGTCCCTTAGCCCTCTCTTTCACAGCGATCCTGTGTCAGAGTAATCATTCACCTGTCACTCAGGGTCTGCTGGTCAGCCCCAACAAGCTATAAATGAAAGACAAGTCATGTTGGTGTTTCAGATGGATAATTCTGGGTAGAGTGTAGATGAAACAGTGATAGAGTACAAGAATGAAGGCGGAGGCCATTGCAATCAGTATAACTTTTTAATGCTTTATCTCCAAAGGTAATAAATTAAGGAGAATCCTATCTAATAAAGGAGGAATATGCTAATTGACCATCACTCCATCACAAACATGGTTGCACCCACAACTGAGATAAAGTTTCCATAAGGAGCCTTAACGAGCAATCAGCAGGGACCTAAGGTTATGCCCTTCCCTACCCCTGTGAGGCTTGACAGGGACCTCAGGCTGCACCCCCCACCCTAATGTTAGGCTGGGGGACCTCAGACTGCATCTCTCACCCCAGTGCCAGGCCAGGGGACCTGAGGCCATGCCTCCAGCCCAGCAGGGCTTGACAGGGGACCTCAAGGTGCACTTCCTGTCCTGGTGTTGGGCTAGGGGAATCTCAGGCTGCTGCCCCAGCTCCAGGCCAGGGGACCTCAGGCTGCACCCCCCAACCAGGTGAGGCTTGACAGGGTACCCCAAGCCAAGCTCTCCACCCCAGTACCAGGCCAGGGGTCCTGAGGCTGTGACCCTGCCTGGCTGGGCTTGACAGGGGACATCAGGCCATGCCCCCCACCCAGTGGACTTGATGGGGGACTTCAAGGTGCACCCCCAGTGCTGGATGGGGGTAACTCAGGCCGTGCCCCTACCCAGAGGGGCTTGACTGGGGACCTGAAGCTGCATGCTTCCCCTTCCAGTGTTGGGCCAAACAACCTGAGGCTGCACCTGCCACCCCCACCTGGCAGGACTTGACGAGGGACCTCAGGCCATGGGCAACCCCCCCCCCCCAACAGGGCTTGACAGGGGATCTCAGGCAGTGTCGCACAACTGGCAGGGCTTGATGGAGGACCTCAAGGCACACCCCTACCTCAGTCTTGGCTAGGGGACCTCAGGCCATGCCCCCTGTCCTGGCGCTGGGCTAGGGTACCTGAGGGTATGCCCCTGTCCAGTGGGTCTTGACAAGGGTGGGACTGGCCAGGTCTGGATCTAGCCCAATTGGGGCGTGGGGGATCTGGGTTTGGGTCTCATGCGATTTTGAGGTGCTTGTGGATGTGCAGGGACTTGCCTCTGGATCCCATGGTGTGCCCCAGACTCTGACAGGAGGAAGGTTTTCATATATATTTTACTAATCTTTTTCATCTCTGACATTTCTATTATAGAGAAAAGGCAAATAGCAATATTAAATTATTTCCTCTAATTAATCCCCTTTTAATGTGCACAAATTTCATGCACAGGGCCACTAGTTACAAATAAAAGTCTTTAAATTAGCTCAGACACACATTAGAAGGTAAGGGTACTACAAATATACACTGTGAATAATTCTTAATGCACAGAAAGTAATTTGTCATTGATAATTTAGCCCCACAATGTGAGTGCTTAGATTTTTTCAGTCTTACCTTGACACACTGGAAATGGATTTTCCCAAATCATATCATCTCCTTCATAATCACAGTAAGTAGAATTTACACCAACTAATTTGTACCTAAACAATGAGAGGATGAGAAAAGTTGTGTTCTCCTAAAATTTCCAGAATACCATCTTAAAATATTCACTGTACCAGTAGATGGAAACAAAATAATAGTTGATAAAAGTTTATATGGTAGTTTAAAGAAAAAGAAAAAATTAAATTTAAAAAAGTGACATCCAAAAGATAATTATAAAACATCAAAACATTTCTTATTTGGATGGGCCATAATTTAGAAAATATTAAAGTGTTTTAAAAGACTTTCAATTTATATTGGTGCTTGAATATTTTCTATTTCTGAATTCTCAAAAATCAATAAAGGCTTTATAGAATAATAGAATATACTTATACTTAAAGGGTTCAAAGTACCCCCAGATTTGATATTAATGATTTAAATATCTGTATTTAGTACAGGAGATAAGTGATGCCAACATTATTTTATAAAAAATGGACAAACACACAGAGTAAAATATCGTAATTCAATTTGCAGATATTAAATGAGAAAATGAATATAAAGTTTTCAGCAGTATCTGAGACACTGATAATACCCTTTTCTCTACATAGAGAACTTATAAAAGACCTTAGGTCAGATGATATTGTAACACTAGGACTACATGTTTTTAACATAAGATAATTTATAGCAGATTGGTTGCATATAAAAACATATTAATATGATCTCACTCATTTGTGGAATATAATGAACATACACTGATGAACAAAAACAGATACAGAGAAAGAGAAGCATTGATCAGACCTCAGAGGTAAGGGGGAGAGATCAATCAAAGGACTGTATTCATGCATATAAGTCTAATCAATGAACACAGACACCAGGGGAGTGAGGGCATGAGTTGGGAGGTGGAAGTGGGGGGCAATGGAGGGATAAGGACACATATGTAATACCTTAATCAATAAAGAAAAATAAATACATGCTAAAAACACATGCAAATTTATTATTTAGGTAAATTAAAGACTGATTTCATTTAACTCTGAGATTTAATATCTGTAATTTCTTTTACTAATGACATTTAAATTTTTATAATGAACCATATGTACTCAAACCTAAAAATTTCAAGGATTTGGTTGTATAAAACATCTTCCTTTCTTAGCCCATTTTACTACATTTAACTTTGATAAGCTCATGAGGAAAACTTTTGAGCAGAGGGATTGCTTTACTGCTACTAGCTTGTGAAAACTATCCACACTTCTAAAAATCTCCATCTTAAATTCTAATTTGTGTTTTTGCTTGTTAAATAGAGAATGGTTAGTATGCAAAAACTTACCCTGGGTCACATGAGAAGTAGATTTGTGAGGTGAATAATATGTCAGTTGGTATATTGATATGACCATTTTCTATTTTTCCAGGATCAGGACATGATTTTTCTAGAAGATAGTAGAATTTTTTTTTATTAAGTTATTAGACACATCTACACAAAATCATCATTTGAAGCATTGGTAATCTCTTATCCTGAGACTGATTAAATCCTACAGTCACTTTATAAGTTTCAAAGAAGCAGTCTATTTAGGAGTATATACTTTTTTTCATTTTACTTACGGTAATCTTAAACTAAGTGTGAAATCTGTGCATCAATTACTATTCCTATCTCTCTCAAGTATTTAGTTTGCCTAATTATAATAAAGCTAGAGGCCAGGTGCATGAAAATTGTGCAAGGGTAGGGTCCCTAGATCTGGCAGGCCATCAGGGCCTTCCAGCTGCTGATCAGGGCTTTCCTTCATTCTGTGCCATCCCCTGGTGGTCAACACATGTTATAGCAAGCAAGTGAACTCCCGGTCAAACTTCCGAGGGAACACTTTGCATATTAGCCTTTTATGTATATAGATGACTCTAATCATTCTTTTTTTTTAAAAAAAAATCATTCCAAATAATATGTACACACAGACTTCAAGCATGAATAGAAGATTAAATACTATTTCCCCAAATACCATACATTTTGGAATATTCTTTAAAATTATACTCACTATAGCAAAATATTTCCGATTTGCTCCACGTATAATCCTCAAGGCAAGTTACGTTCCCTGATATGGAATGGTTCCTTGCGAAGCCTGGATTACACTCATATTCCACAACGAAACCCACTGGGTGATAACTCACTGGGATATAAATATCTTTCTTATGTGCATAAGGTACTCTGGGTGTAGTCCCACAGCTACCTAAAAACATTACCAAACCAAGAACAACAAAGAGTCATATCACTTTATTTCATAATCTATATTTAATTATTGGAACCATCTGTCTTCTTGCATACTTTTTGCATACTTCTTTGTACACATTTGGCACTTAGCTATATGAATATCAACAGGGCATTTAAAGGGTATCAAGCATATTCAAATATATGCTTTTGTTTCCTAATGACTAGAGGCCTGTGAAGTAGATTGAGCACATAGGTGTCACTTAGGCCCACAATTCGAAGAATATAACCCGTGTAAGTTGCATGGCACAGTTCTGGCACCGACTCAGTACACGCAGGTTCCCTGGCCCTGCCTGCCCCCTGTAGCACTGGGGTAGATGACATATTCCCACCCCCCTGCCTAATGTCGGGGGCAATGACAGTTAGAGTAACAACAACAGCTAATATTTATGGGATCTTCTAAACATTTTCTGCAAGCAAACTCATTCAATCCCACAGCAACCTCCGGGGACAAGGCTCAGAGGAGCTGATGTGTACATTCATTCCAGTGTTTAGAAACTTGAGCCATCTGGGCAAACGGGAATTGATGGAGACATGGGACCATTGGATTTATTGTTCAAACACTCAAGTTTGAACCTGGGCTCTTCTGCGTAAGAACTGCGGGTGTTAAGGGAGTTAACTTTTCAGGACCTGTTTCCTCAACTGTGAAATGATGGAACTGTCTGGAGGATTAAAGGAAGTAATAGAGGTGGTAGAGTAACAGGATACATGTTACTGCCTTCTATCACAGATAAGTTAAAAATAAAAATTAAAAAAAGTTGCCGAAACCGGTGTGGCTCAGTGGATAGAGTATTGGCCTGTGTACTGAAGGGTCCCAGGTTCGATTCCAGTCAAAGGCATGTACCTTGGCTGCGGGAACATCTCCAATAGGGGTGTGCAAGAGGCAGCTGATTGATGATTCTCTCTCATCAATGTTTCTGGCTCTCTAGCCCTCTCTCTTCTGTAAAAAAATCAATAAAATATATATTTTTAAAAAGTTAAAGCCCATTTTTAAAAAATGTTGTGGTGGCAGTTTCTATGTATGCTGTCACTTCCAATGCTCTAAACTTGTTCAATGGCAGGAATCAAATCTTATTTTTAAACCTTCTTGTCTATGTCAAAATTACAACTGGGCCATATATAGGTTTTGAGGTACAGGTAAGAGACATCTTAAAAATGCCACCCCAGTGTTATACTTGGTAAGTCCTTCTTTAGGAAATCAAACCTAGCACCCATGCCATGTATCTCACTGCAATTACCCAACATGCTCCTATTTAAGTTATTCCCTAAACAACAACAGTAAGTACTGGTTATTTTCTGTTAGTCAGTTCAGGAGATACAGTGTGGGGAGCGGGACGGGGCTGTAAATGAAGAAGCAGGATCTAGTCCTGGAAGTAATACCATTAACTAGCTGTAGTGTGAAGTGCTAACACGTATATCCTGGGGTGTAACAATGCCAGAAAAGTACCAATTGCCAGTCACTGGGAAGAGGGATATATTTTAACTTAACTTTTTAAAAATATATATGCTTTTATTGCTTTTTAAAAATATTTTTAGAGAGAGGAGAAGGGAGAGGGACAGAGAGAGAAACACCAATGAGAGAGAAACAAATGGAATGAGCTGCCTCCTGCACGTGCCCTACTGGAATTGAGCCTGCAACCCTGGTATGTGCCCCAACTGGGAATCCAACCAGCTACCTCTTGGTGCATGGGAGGAAGCACAAACCATTGAGCAACACCGGTCAGGGGCCCCATCACTTTTCTAAAAAGAAAGGAAGAACTTACGTTGGCAAAATACTTCGGGCGTTGTCCATTGACCGTTCTCAAGACAGTGCACTACGTTTACCTTTCCAATAATTTTCACAAAACCGGGATTGCAATGATATCCTACTACGGTTCCTTCAGGAAAAATCGTACGATTTTCCAACAGTACTGTAGCATTAGGCATATCTGGGGGGAAACCACAGTCACCTAGAGATGAAAAAAAAAAAAAAAATGGAACTCAAGAAAAGACCATGTTTCCATTGAGAGCAAAAGGGAAGCAGCCATGCCTTTTGATACACATTTTGATCCAGTGCCGACTGGCTTCCAATCTTGACAATGGATTCAAGGCTAACATAAGGCGAGAATGAACCCCTCCCCTCCCATTATTTTGTGAGGTGGTTTAGTATTTCCCTCCACTTAGATACGGTTGCTATGCACACCATGAAGACTGAGGCCAGGCGGGGAGATGTGCAGTTACAGGTGTGGCCCCAGGTGCTGCACAGCCCTGGACTCTGGTGGTGGGTTATCTGGCCTCCCGTCCTGAAAGAGATGTTGGGGGGTTGACAAGTCCCCCCAGCCCAGCACTGCCTTCCTGCTTCCCAGTGTCTGGCTGCTCTGCAGACTCAGCTGCTGCTGTCTCAGCAACTCGCGCCTCACTCCTAAAGCCGTGCCATTTTGTGCCATTTGGGGGCCCCGCACAGCAAGACCCCTAAGAGCTGGTTAGCAGCAGAGATCCTCTTCCTGTCCCACGGGATAAGGCCAGTAGGAGCCCTGATCTTTATTTTATTTTATTTTATTTTATTTTATTTTATTTTACTTTATTTTATTTTATTTTTTTATTTGTCAGTTTTAACATGTGTGATTTATTTTTCAAAATTAGCTGGGTCATCAAACTTCTCTGTTTAAAGACTAAAAATATTGAGTCTAAAGACTAAAAATTTGTGTCATGAAGAAAAACTTAACATATTGATAGTCATGGTACAGTAAACAAACAAACAATAACCTGATTGGATAAATTTAGTGTTTTCAATTGTTGTTGTTGTTGATCCTCACCCAATGTTATTTTTTCTTTTTTTATATAGATCATGGTATCACATAATGGTCCTCATCCCCCCATTCTCCCTCCAAACTCCTCCCCGCGTATGCCCCCACCCCCCTGTTGTCTGTGCCCATTGGTTAGGCTCATATGCATGCACACAAGTCCTCTGGCTGATCTCTCCCCCTTCCCCTCACCCTCCCCTGCCTTCCCTCTGAGGTTTGAGAGTCTTGATCGCTGCTTCCCTGTCTTCGGGTCAGTTTTTGATCATTATTTCCCCTAGATGCGTGAGATCGTGTAATACAAAAGTAGAGGATTACAGGGAACCAGGACTCATGCCCACACACATCCCTCACCTTCCCAGAACCCCAACTTCTTGGTTGCCAGCCTCCGCCCCCTCCAACTCTCCTCCCTCCTCATACACACACATACACACTCACACACACACTCAGGCTCAGGGTTCCCCCCGCTGGGCTGGGTCCCCCACTCACCCCGCGCAGAGTGTGGGCACCACAGCAACCGCAACAGCAACAGTCCCAGCGAAGGGACCAGCGGGGCGGGGAGGCGCAGCGCGGCGGGGGCGCCCCTCCGGGCGGAACGCATGGCTCGGCCACGGGGACCCAGCGCCCGTGCTCAGCAGCCTCCACCCAGAGATCCGAGAGATCCAAGAGATCGAGAGATCCGGCGGGCTGCGGTGTGGATCGGTAGGCAGCAGCGGAGCGTCCTTGTCCTGCAAATCAATTTAAATGAGCGCCCTGGGTGGTCCAGGGCTCTGAATCACCAAAGGGTGGGGCCGAGGGCGGCGGAGCAGGGGGTTTGCTCGCGCCTGGTGCTGGGCGGAGTGAGGGCGGGGGCGCCAGCGTCACCGGCCCCCGGGGACCCCTGTCTGTGGACCTGGCGTCCTGGGCCCGGAGCTCAGCTCTCTGGGACAGCTTTCTCTCTTTGCTGCTGGGGTGGGGCCTGCGACGAGCAGCCCTCTGGAAGGAAAAAAGCGAAGATCTGCTTTCTAGGTAAACACAAATATTGGGGGGAACAGAGGAGATGGGGAGTTTCAAGTGGCCAGGCTTGGCGCCCAGGAACCTGATGAGAGGCCCTCAGGCGCCAGGGCTGCCAGGCTGAGCGGCAGGAGCGGGGGATTGCGAGGCTTGGAGCTGAGTAGTACCCCCCACCCCGACCCTGCTACCCCCGACCTCCTCCCAGGGACGTGGTGCCTGCTGCCAGGGGGGCTGTCCGATGCCAAGCAGAGGACGCGAGAGAAAGGGGCGCGGTAAGTAGTCTTCCAGGGCTCTGGGCAATGGGAAAATGCAAAAGCAGGTGGAGCAACACGGGGGAGGGACTGTTGCTCATACCAGGTCTGGGACTAATCTAGTCTGACTGCAGGGAGAAATTCCCCGTAGGCTGGAGTGGAGTGGAACAGGACACCACAAACACCAAGCGCGAGAAAGCAAGATGATAGGGCGGTGGGTTTTAAAAGAAAGGTTTGCTAGAAAGTTTTAAGTCTATGTCAGTGGGTTGGGTGGCTGGCCACACACTGGAATGAATCACAGGAGGAGATTTTTTTTTTTTTTTTTTAATCCAAATGTCCCAGGAGTTCGACCAGGGGGTGGGGCTGGGCTGGCCAACTACAGTGAAGGAGACCCCGGCTGGCATCTGGCAGCCATTTGGGACCCTACCCATGCTCGTATTTCATGCACTGGGCCTCTAGTTTGATATAAAAACACTAAGTTTATCAGGGTCCAGCTGTGTTTGAGAAGTGATACCAGGGCTTCATTTATTCTCCCTAAGCGCCCCCAGAACCTTGCCCATCACACCCTTCTGCCAGGCCAGTATGGGCAGGTAGTCCTTGTTTCTACTTGAGCTCATAGAACTGGTGTGAAAGGCAACGTAGCACCATGACAAGGAGCTGAAGGTCAAGATCAGTCATGGAGCTGCCAGAAGACTTAAATTTACAGGTATGTATTTATTAAGTGAATATATAATAGTTTTTTTTTAATCCAGAAAAGAAAAAAAAAAAACAATGAACTTTGCAAAGTGTCAAAAAAAATTATCTCTGTCACCCAGCAACATTGAATTCTTTAAGCATTCACTTTCCAAAACACATGGTTCTTGATAATACATTGAAAAAAAGGAACTTTTATGAGAAATAACTGGGTGACTCTTAGTAACACTTCAGGCCATTTCCAAAATTTCTTTTTTTTTAAATATATTTTATTGATTTTTCAGAGAGGAAGAGAGAGGGATAGAGAGTTAGAAACATCGATGAGAGAGAATCATCGATCAGGTGCCTCTTGCACACCCCCTACTGGGGATGTGCCTGCAACCAAGGTACATGCCCTTGACTGGAATCGAACCCAGGACCTTTCAGTCCACAGGCCGACGCTCTATCCACTGAGCCAAACCGGTCCCGGCCCATTTCCAAAATTTCAACATTCTGAGGGCAAAGAAGAAAGAGAAATCCACTATTCCTTTACTCAACTCAGAAAAAGTTCCTAGGATGAAAATGTATGCATTATTAAGAAACACTAAATATACAAATGTGTAACTTGTTAAATTACTTTAAAAAATGACCTCAAATTGCTGTGGTTTCAGTCATTTCCTATAATACGTCTTACCTTGTCACCAACACAACTTCATGAACTGGGAATAATTGCTCACATTTCATAGATAAGGAAGCAAGCGGAGAGTTAATTAACCAAAATCTGAGCGGCCCAGTAAGTGACCAGGCCAGAATCTAAATCCAATTTGTTTGATTCCAAACCTAAACTTAACCTCTTTTATTCTACCACACTGCATTCTTTTTTAGCGCAGGCAGTCAGCAAAGGTATCTTCTGCATGGAGGCCACGGAATTAGGTATTTTGGGAGGTTGATTTGAGAACCTAGCTCCTTTTTGTGTCAACAATACGTAGACCTGAGTCTTCAGACTTAATCTACCAGAAGCTAGTTAATCATTCTAAGCCCAGTCACCTTATCCCTCAGGGTTCCATTTCCACATTGGTTAAGAAAGACTTTAATAATAATCTAAAATAATAAACTAAAATAAATAAACTAAATAAATAAACTAAAATAATCTCTGTAGAGTTTTACAATTCCAAAATGATAAAATTAGGTTAAAAAATTAATAATAGAAAGCAGGTCTATGCTTTTGGCAGAAAAGAGTTAACACAGCTTTCACCCCTGTCTCAAGAATCATACAGGGACCACATCAAAGACTTTTAATAAATTGGAGATCATCTAGTATTTAAAAGCATAGTAAGGAAGGGGCCAATACTTGCATTCAGGAATCTCTAATTGTGATATATAAGAAACTGTGATTTTTCAAGAAATGTATATTGAGTCATCCAGACAATCTAAATATATTTCTTATGTATATTTGGTTTTTGTCCACAATTCCTGGCTCACAGTTCTCAGGAAGTCTTGGAATTTTCTAAGCATTGAGACTGAAAAAGTTGTTTTCTTAAAAAAAATATTTTAAATATATTCTTATTTATTTCAGAGAGGGAGAGAGAGGTAGAGACATCAATGTTGAGAGAGAATCATGGATCAGCTGCTTCCAGCATACCCCACACTGGGGAATAGAGCTTAACACCCTGGCATGTGCCCTGACCAGGAATCAAACTATAATTCATAGTTCAACACTCAACCACTGAGCCATGCCTGCCAGGCCTGAAAAGGTTGTTTTTCTGTTATGTTAAAGGAGGCAACTTTTAGACTTCACAAAGGAATGGGGACTGATTGGCAATAGAACCAGCCATGTCATTAAAGGGTTAGAATTTTAAGTCCATCCTGGACCTCCAGGAAAGAGAGGTTAGAGGTTAAATTGATTCCCAATGGCAATTAGTTAATCAGTAAGAACTGCAATTAAGCCAACATAAAAACTCAAGAAGATTGGGTCCGGGAAGGTTCAGGGTTGGTGAACACGTGTTGTTGCCAGGAGAGTGGTGCACCTGGAGAGGGCATGGGAGTTTACCCCCCTTCCCCCTCTACCCCATACTTCATGCATGTCTGCCTTCTAGCTGTTGCTGAGTTATAGCCTCTTACAATCAACCAGTGATCTAATAACTAACAGGTTTCCCTGAGTTCTGTGACCCGATCTAGCAAATGAATTGAACCCACAGACGGAGATGTGGGAACCTCTGACTTACCACCAGTTGATTAGAAGCACAGGTAACCACCTGGAAGTGGCATTCTCAAGTGGAGGGTGTGTTGGAACCTGCAACCTGCAATCTGTGGCCAGTTCAGAAGAACAGAAGCCCGGGCTTGCTGCTGTCATCTGAAGTGTGTGTGTTTGGAGGGAAGGCCAGTCTTGTAGGACTGAATCCTGAACCGGTGGATTTCGATGCTATCTTTGTCTCTAGGTAAATAGTGTCAGAATGGACGTGACTTCTTGGACACCTTGCTGGTGTGCAAAAATTGTTTTTTGTTTGTTTGTTTTTGCGGGGAGGCGTTCTTGTAGGACTAAATTCTTAACCTGTGTGATACCAGGCTATCTCAGGTAAATAGTGTCAGAGTGCTGAGAATTATTTATTGGTGTTGATATAAATTCCCCCTCAGGGAATTTACTTTTAATAAGCTCTACCAGGGAGGTAGAATAAGTGGGACAAATGTTATGGAAATGCCTCAACCAATGTAGTGTGGGTGTGTGTTCAGAAAAGAGAGAGAGAAACCTGGCCAATAAGGGTGGAAGAGGCTCATTCATGGTCTAGTGACTTGGCTAAATAATGACAAATATGTCAATGCAATAAGGAAAGTAGGAAAAGGAAGAAGAATGGTATGGCAAAGGTTTGGGGTCAGGAAAATGTCAGTTGATTTTGAGAGAGGGAAGGGATTGCTTGAGGCTGAGCATGGGGGATTTCACCTGAGCGATGGAAGAAGAGGCTGCCACACCAAGCAGTTTCCACTACTTAGGCTCATCGGAGGCTGATGAAGAGAGATTTCAGCCGAAAGTAAAAAAATTATATGGGGAGTTGTGTACAAGACGCTTGCCCTGCAAGCAGAGACCCAGAAAGGCCTTTAATTTTAGTTTTAAAAATGAGTAAATCTGTATTAAAGAAACAGCCTGTCAGACACAACTATGAAAGCCATTTGTGTTTCCAGGCCGGTTCTTATCAAAGAAATTTGGATGGAAAAACCTACAGAATTTGGTGACTGATTAGATAAGGAACAAGAAAAAAGAGGCTGTAAGATGATTCAGAATTTTGGGGTGTGTGCCCTATTTTGAAATGTGTCTGCGTGGTTGTTGTTTATTAAAAGTGGCTTAGCAGCCGAAACCGGTTTGGCTTGGTGGATGGAACTTTGGTCTGCGTACTGAAAGGTCCCAGGTTCCATTCCGGTCAGGGGCATGTACATTGGTTGCGGGCACATCCTCGGTAGGGGGTGTGCAGGAGGCAGCTGATTGATGTTTCTCTCTCATCGATGTTTCTGGCTTTCTATCTGTAAAAAATCAATAAAATATACTTTAAAAAAATAAAGTGGCTTAGCAGAGTGTCTGTGTGGAGATGCACAGAGAGGTGGAAATGTTGGAGGAGACATGGCTGAAAGCGAGGTAACCAAGGGAGAAAGTTAAACAGAAACTCCAAGAGGCCCACGAGGTGAGCCCTGGGGA